ACCCATTCGAGTCGTCTCTAAGCATTATTAGTTTCCTTTTGTTTGTAATTACTAAACTCCAATGTAGATGGCACTACATGCATTGCCAGGCTATGATAAACCGACACGTATATGAGATTGTTTTCGTGTGATGGTCTACTTGTTAAAAAACGATACAACAAGAAGAAGCGTACTAAACAATGATATAAAAGAGTAATTTCAAACATAAAAACGGTAATTTGCATAGTACTATAACCTCTCATCTCCTGCTAGTTTATTGTTTTATGATAGAGCCGGTAAATGCCACAGACGACTGTGCCCCTTCCCCTTTCACCACTCCCAATGACGATGGCCAGGTGGTTAGGGCGCTCGACTCGCAATCTGCGGGTTCGAATCCCCGTCACACCAAACATGCTCGCCCTTTCAGCCGTGAGGGCGTTATAATGTGACGGTCAATCCCACTGTTCGTTGGTAAAAGAGTTGTCGATGGGTGGTGATGGCTAGTTGCCTTCCCTCTAGTCTTACACTCCTAAATTAGGGACTTCTAGCGCAGATAGCCCTCGTGTAGCTTTGCGCGAAATTCAAAAAACAAACAAACAAACCTAGTGATGAATTTTCCGTGAACTATGTGTGGGTGGGCAGCAACAGTATTATGTTCTAGCAGTAAGCTTTATCGTTGTATGCTGATTTTGTCTGACGGGTAATTTTATGCCAGCTGGTATGGCATCCCATAACAATTTGATTACCTACATCGGTGGTTCTGAATCCACGGAACTCTTCTGCATCAAATTTGTTTATTCATTCAAAAAAAAATTCTACAATAATTATAAATAAATATCAATAATTTAAGGTAAAGTACGTGTGCTTAACACAGCTATATACCCACGTGCAAAGCATGAAAAATTACTAGAGCCAATTACTCGGGCACACACACGTACACATAACGAGAAGCGTGATCTCTCAAATAATAAAAGTTTACATGACTCAAGCACCTGTTTGAACCTAATCACACTCGCTAATTTAAAACAATGTAGTGACTTGTCGTGTCATCATGAAACCAGTTGTACTAATAAAGGAATATAATGTAACTGGATTGCAATTATGTGACTTTACGTATTAGATTATGTGGAACCCTAGTATATCGCTGAAACCCTGGATGTCTGTCGAGGAACCCCGTTTGAAAAGCGCTGACCTACATCGATGATAATTTGAAATAAAAATATTGCTGTAACGTATATTATCGTTGGGCGGGTTCTTTTTAATTAGTTTGGTGAAAGTAACCTAACGATAAATAGTTTAGTTATTTCTTCAGTGATGATTGCTATAGGCTGCGTTCACTTTGACGCAAGTTTTAGGCCTAAATTCATAAACAAGCTTTTCAACATTGACTCTGAGACTACCGTAGATCTAATGCACTAAAAACGTTTAGCAGGCGTTTACTGAATTGATAACAAACCTGACTAACTTATTAAATTAACTTCTCTCGGTCAATACTAATCAATCTTCCACACATTGAGTATTTGACTACATTTTACATCAATACTCAGTAAATATCCCATTGAACTAACTCAATACATCACCCTTACTTATAAAGTAATATATCTATCTAGGTATTAGTTAAAGTTTCTTAACATCATTTGCCCTCTAGCTAATATCTAAATTAAAATATTAAAAAATATAGTTTACAACAGTTGTTAATCTGTAGTAAGCCAAATGATTAGACTGTTTTTATCAGTTGTTAATCTGTAGTAAGCCAAGAGATTAGACTGTTTTTATCGGTTGTTAATCTGTAGTAAGTCCAGTGATTAGACTGTTTTTCTCAGTTGTTAATCTGTAGTAAGCCAAGAGATTAGACTGTTTGTATCGGTTGTTAATCTGTAGTAAGCCAAGAGATTAGACTGTTTTTATCGGCTGTTAATCTGTAGTGAGCCAAGAGATTAGACTGTTTTTATCGGCTGTTAATCTGTAGTAAGCCAAGAGATTAGACTGTTGTTCTCAGTTGTTAATCTGTAGTAAGCCAAGAGATTAGACTGTTTTTATCGGCTGTTAATCTGTAGTAAGCCAAGAGATTAGACTGTTTTTATCGGTTG